GGGGTGGGGGGGGGGGGGGGAGGGGGAACTTAGCAGTCTATTAGGTGGAAGGACCAATATACGATGTCCACAAGAAGCTCACTATAATGGATGAAACCCTCACATTGCAGCTATCACCGCTCGATCATGTATCATTGTCTACAATCTACAACCAATAATCAACTGAGTTGTCCGTACGAACAAAATTAGCTATTAAGGTGGCAACCAAGTAGTCCATCTTAATTGTTAATGTATAACTCAATATTTAGTAAGTGAATTGTTTATGCAATTATAAAATTAGAGGTCCGTTCAAACATTGTGATGGTGATTTGGATTTTTATTTAGTATTATTAAATCTATTACAAGATAGTATATATATTTTATATTTTTTATATTCTTTGGCTTTCATTCAAAGAGAGTCAAAGATGTGCCAACTGAGCACAAGGTGAGAATGACTTGTGCTAAATTCATATTAATTTAACAATATTAGATATTATATGCCAAAAAAAACATCTAATTTCTATCCAAAGATGCACTTTACATTTTAATTAAAAAATTACATTTATAACTATATAAATTAACTACTTCTAGTTTAAAATATATCAAATGCTCTAACACACTAAACCATAATTTTTATTTTTATTTTTGAAAGGGAAACCATAAAGTTTAATGCAAAACAAATGTTAAGACATTTTGAATATTTTAAATTAAAAATGTTAAATAATACTCCATACAAATTTAATGAAATTAATAATTAAGTAGTAATGTGAATAATAATAATAATTATAAATGAAAAATAAAAAGTGAAATTAGTTGGAGTGGAACCAAAAGGAGTTTGTAACATTGTAGAAGAATATAATACTGACAAAATGGATGAAGCTCTAAAAGATAGTTTGACCATAAAATGTCCGGAATCGAATCATCTATTCATTTTCGGTCCCAAATTTGTCACATCCGTGCACCATGCCGCCTTTCAATGCCCTTTTTTTCCGCTTGATAGGATAAACGTGCAAGTGAAATATGGTTTTTGTATCAAAATGTTACGAATTTAATTTTTGTCAATATCATTTTAATTTAATTTATTGTATAAATGTATCTAATACAATTTATTTTTTTGTGTAATTTGTAAATTATTACACAATATATAGTAAAATTTATCTTTAAATATACGTTGGATTAATGATTGCAGTTTTCTAAATCATCCGAAATAGAAAAAAAAAAATTCCTTGGTATAATTCTCACTCTCGATGGTAATGTTAATCTTTACCAAAATTATAGTTTATAATCTTAATTTTATTGTCAAGCACCTTGTGCTCAAATGACATGTAGTGACTCTCTCATATGGGAGTTTATGATATTAAGCTTTAGTGGAGGCGGTGTTGATTCTTTGTGCTTCAACAAAAATAAAATCTTACCCTTCCCAACTAAAACTTTTCTCTTCTCCTTTATCTGCAAATATTATTATTATTATTATTATTATTATTATTATTATTATTATTAGATGAAGGAGATTTGCAACAATATTGCTACTTCATTATGGGATGTTAGATCATGATTATGCTAATAGTTTTATTTCAAGATGTTAATTTTTTTAAGATAAAATGTCAAATTTTAATACGTAAACAAACTAATTTAATTTTGATGAAGATGTCATTTGTTTTGTCTTTTTACATTTATCAACTTATTAAAAAGTTAAATTTACCACACACTTTTAAGCATAATAGCTAGCTTAACAACTACTAAGTTTTCAGCTCCTAACTTATAGCTTTTCAACTTTCAACTACCTTTTCAGTTAGGTTTGCTAAACATAGCCTTAATTGGTTTTTTGTACTCCAAAATGCTAAAATTAAAAAAACTACTGAAAAAAAACAATTTTTTCAATTAGTTTTTTGAGAAAAGAAATTATATCAAACAGTTATCCGCTAACAGCTAATTTACCAAATATTTTTTTACAATCAGCTAATATTATCAACTAGTTATACCATCTAATTAACTCAATTAGCTATCAGCTAACAATCATTTACCAAAGATGGCCAATCTTGTCTTATATAAAACAAATTATTGATTTTGTGTAAGACTTAATTGCATCATGCGAAACTAATCTTAAATACGTATACTTTTTATTTTGTTGCGATTATGTCGTCGACAAGATGTATATATATCTGGAGAACAAGCCAACATTTGCTTCTAGCATTGCATGCAATACTAATTAAGTACGGATGGGAGTATTGTTTTTGTTGTTGTTCACTAACCTTCTCTTACCGCCATTGTACAAAGACGACTTAAGTGATGATTTCGTGATGATATTAAGTTCTTTTTTTTTTTTTTTTTGGGTTCTTTTTTTTGAAAAGATATCGTCAATATTTGAAAATGTATACTAAATAAATATCGCTCTTGTGTAATACGGAGTAATTTATAAACTATACAAAAGGACTAAACGAATGATTTTGCGTTATAGACTTGACTGAGATGATATTAGAGAGAATAGAACGATTGGCATTAACTTTGGTAGGCTTAATTAGATTAATGTGTGGGGCAGTATTTGAGGCAATAGACCAAGATTTGAAACGCGATAGCTATAATGTGGAGATTATGTTAAAAGTAAATAAATTTATTGTGTGCATTGACATTTGGCTCTGTCTATTGAGCCATTGATTACCATAATTTATATTTTCTCAAATATTCTGTTAGACGAGATGTGGATGGTCATTAGGACTGGGGAATATTTAACATTTTGGGGCAAGATTAGTGTGTTTCAAAACTGTTTATAGTATTAAATAGCGTATGGTTCGAGGTAGGTGATTTGTGTCACCAACCATAACCCCACTCATTATAGTAATTCTGAAAGTTGACACTGTCAACCAATATTACTTACTCGTCATTTTTAGGATCAACATTCAATTCGTATCAATTCATAAGCATAATTCCTAATCATTATTCTTCTTCCCTAAAGGTTAATTCCTAATCATTATTAACTTCAGTAGTAGTTACCTAAAAACTGGTTGAGTGAACGAAACATGACTTTTATATGAAAGTTTTGCTAATTTATTACCCCGTATTGGTTAAGTTTGTCATATATACAAGATTTTCTTACTTTAATTTTAAAATATTTGATGCACACTTTTAAGTAATAATTATGAGTTTTTTTGCCACTCAATAATAATAATAATAATAATAATAATAATAATAATAATATTAATAATAATAACATTTCACCTTTTTCAAAACCCTAGATCCCATACTATGTAGGCAGGCCAGTACGATGATCATAATATTATTGGATACTGCTTACAATGAGGAAACAGTTTTGATGGAGTGGGTAAAGAAGAAATTGGGTAACAACTAACAGGAAACTAAATAATTAAAATATATTATTTTCTCTCAATAATTTTTCCTGTAAATGTTAAACAATTTGATACACAAAGTAACGTTGTAACTTGTAAGTGGTAAACGTTATTACGGTCTCCGTATAATCGTACTTTTTTAACTTTTAATTTTTATAAAAATTTGACAAATTAGGTAAGAAAAAAATGTACTAATTTTGGAACTCCTATAAAAATACTTTAGAAGTAAAGTGTGATCAACTTATTAATCATATACCAAATTTGAAAAGAATTTTACTATTTTCCTCTCCTAAGTTCATGTTCTAATATGATACTATTTTTTTTTTTAATTTAATCTTCATTAAGTATTTAATTATTTATGAATTAGCTTATCAACCGTGAGGTGGATATTAAAAGTGTGTAACATTACTCATATGAAAATGTCACCATAGTCAATGGTTAAATCAACAATTAATTTATAAATTAAAGAGTTCGAGCCTCAGTGGAGGCGTTATTAGCTCTTTGTGTTTCAGTAGGTTGAGAAAGTATATGAACAGATACCACAATATAATAGAGCTAGTAGCATTCAAAAAAAAAAAAAAAAAAAGAGTCAATGTATGCCTTTTTTGTTTTGAGTGTATTGGAAGATGGAGGAATTAATATCGTAGGCGAGAGAGAAGCTAAGTTGTAAAGAAAAGAACGTGATAATTACGTGCACACTTGTTGCTTAACAGGTGCGTGCTCTTCACTTGTCTAATGGGCGATTAGAACCACTCAAATGGATATATTATTATTTTTTATTTCCATTTTATTTATATACATCATGACAAAAAAAAAAAAAAAAAAAAAAAAAAAAAAAAAAAAAAAAAACTTGTTCCAAAACTCAACCAGCTCTTAACAATATTATATGCATAACATTTTTTTTTTTAATACAAGGTTAACAAGAACTTGCATGTACCTTTATTTGACTAACTTGCTATAGCAATGGTCAACTCACTCAATAAATATGAAAATTATGAAACTAATTATAAGTCAAGTTAAGTGATACAAAATCTTTAAAAAGACTTTTGTCGCGAACAACATTCGTATTTCTTTTATAAATATAAATATTATTTAATCTTAGTGTCAACTCAACTCATTAATTACATGCAAATACTAAATGAAAAATATTATAATATTAAATCAAATATCTTGTCAAAAATCTAGTGGTCAAATAACATAGTTATAGCTCTTCTAAATGGCCTATTAACTTCTTATGTTTTTTTTTTTTTTTTTGAAAGGAACTTCTTATGTTTCAAAAGTTAATAAAGTATATATGAACATAGAATCAGTAGTACTTAAAAAATCAAATATCGTTACAAGTCAATCAGATTACATATATCAAAACATTAAAATTTGGCCGAACATGATTATATTTGCATTCAATGTTTGGCTGTTTCTTCATCCTATCTAAAGATATTCCAACATGCCATTATCCATATTGTCAAAGGGAAATAGGAGAATTAGGTATGAGAATCTAGCATTAATTCATGATTACCCAAATTCGTTAGCAGTACAGTGAAGTCAACAAAGAAGAGGATAATGAAAATGGAATTACATAGCAAAAAGAAAAAAAAAAACTGTAATTAATAAAAAGTTTTTAATTCATTTATGGATAAAAAAGCATATAATTTGGAACCCAATGTCTACACTATGGTGGTTTATGCAAGCGACATCTGTATGCTGTATCTCTATACTCTCTCTCTCTAGTCGTCTACTTCTCTTAAAGAAACAAGAAAGCTCTGTCCCTTTCTCTTTCATATTCTTCTCTATGCTGGGCTCTGGAAATCTGTTGACGGATTGAATTGATCGTACGGCTTGATTATCATCGGCCATCGTCGCAGGCGGCGTCAAGCTTCAGACTTTGGTCGGGGGACGTCAGCTTCTGAGGTGAGGCCTTGAAAGACCCTGCAATCAATCGTTTGTGCAGTAAAGTTTGCTGCTTTGATTACCCTTTGATCTTGTGCCTCATGTTCTGTTCTTTGGCTCTGTTTTTTGCTCTTAAATATTGTTGCTTTTGGCTCTGCGTGTGAAGTCTTGGGGTTTGCTTGCGCTGTTTATTTCAGTGGTGACTAGTATCATATACGGATACATGCGTGTGAATTTCGCTAAGTTCTGGGCTCGGGAGTAATGAAATCCCTTTGATTTTTTTTGGGTTTTTTTTCGTGGGGTGTAAGGTTTATCTTCTGGGAAGCGGAAGGATTCTGTTCTTTCTGGGAATGGTTTGTTTTTTGACTTTTGTTGTTGTTGTTGTATTATACTTATGAATTTGGAAAAGTGTGGGTAGCGGCGCATATGGTGTGTTGTTGGGATTGTTTTGGTGTTATTTACTGCTTAATAAAGAAGCTCCAAATTTAGTATCTATGTTGTGTAACTTAGGATGTTGGACAAAAGAATGGTGGGTTTTCCTGCTTTGGATTTTTGTAAATGGGAATTTGCTGAGTAGCAATTAATAATCTGTGTCTGACAGCCTAAGGCCCCAAGTTATCATTCCACATGACCACACCAACACTTTTTCGTGTTCTTCTGCTTCCTTGTTTCAAAGAAAGTGGCAAAGGAAGCAACGATATTGCGGTTTCAGGCAAATCCAAAGTTGTTAGGACTTGGCAACTAAAGATTATGCGGCTTCTGTAGTTGTCGCTTATTGGGTGACGATTCAAACCCATGACCTTTGGTCTGGCTCTGATACCAAATTGAAACATGTGCTCCATCTCAACTAAAAGCCTAAGCTGATAGTTGGATTGCACATTAATGGTTATATGCTTAACACAGTGCATTACATATCACACGTTTCTGTATTTGCGGGTTGTTGCTTTTATATTTTTAAGGGAAGTGTTATTCAACTCGGTTATTCTTCTTTGCAGACTCACTGGCGACCTGATGTTGATGAAGGGCCTTGGCTAGAAATTTGATATTTGCTGAAGGGAAGTTTTTTTGTATTCGTTGAGCAGCATGGCAACTGAAAACCCCATGAGAATAGTGGAAAGTAGGAGACGTGAGCAGTGGGGTTCTTCTAAGGATGATGTGGCATATGCACAGCCTATGAATGAAATGGCTGTAGATGAGTTGGGGTTGCTCCTAAAAGGGCATAAAGTTCAGGGTGATAACAGAAACAAGGCTCCTAATCGTAGTGGCAGTGCGCCTCCAAGTATGGAAGGCTCATTTGCAGCATTCGGGAACCTGATATATCAGCAATCAGGAGGTTGGGATTTAGGTTCGATGAATTTAGACACTGCTCTTCTGAACTGTCAGTCTGAGGAACAAATACGGTCCGATCCATCGTATTTTGCATACTATTCTTCGAATGTCAACTTGAACCCTAGGCTTCCTCCACCTATAATCTCAAGGGAGAATAGGCATCTTGCACACCACGTAGGGGCTACGAAAGATAGCTACAAATTCACATCTTCTGGTGACAGTGGCGATAGGCTGGTGCACTTTCCTAGAGGCTCTCTTTCAACTCATATCGAAGAGCCCGAGGATGAAAATTCAACACCGAATGCTTTAGATAACTTGGCAGAGAGTAGAGCCGCAGAATTGACTGGACAGAACATAGGTACTTTGATTGGTCGGCGTAAAAGTTTGGTTGATTTAATTCAGGTATTGAACTTAGTAATCCTTCACTATTATTAACTTCTAGTTTTTATCTTCCTGTTTGAACATCAGATGAGGCTTAATGAAATGATTAATGTTTGATACACTCCATTGAATACAGATTTTGTTTTTGGATATTTAAGTCTGACAAGTATGTTTTGTACGGAGTATTAGTTTAATTTTTCCTGTTTTTCTTCTCCCAGATAGATTTTCTTCCTTCCTCAGTTCCTTGTCTCTTTGAAATATATAAGCTTTTTGTATCAATGGGAGAATTTTTTAATTTGAAAGGCTTAAGAACATGTAGAATTTGTTAAAAAGTTGCATTCCTTTTTGCAGATGGAGAGTTTCTGGTCTTATTTTGTTTTCCTCGTTTCTTTTTACCTATTGGGGTGGGGTTAGTGAGGATATGAACCATGAATGTGCTATTAGTAGATTTGAATTTGAAAGTGTTTCCATGATTTTCATTTTGTTTGCAACTTTGTCTATAGAACCATGAGAGTTAGGATATTTGCATTATTCTGTTTACTACTCAGTCTAAAGTGCCTCGTGAATTGAGATTTCTCCATATTTTGTGATGTTTATGGTTTTTCTAAATTTATTCATAGGATGATTTCGCACGCACTCCGCCACTTTATAGTCAGTCTCGTTTATCGGGCCACATTGCTGTGGAGGAACCAACTAAACGTGATATTCAAGCACTTGGCCTGGAAAATCTTTCTCTTGATATTCCGAAGTTGCCTGACACGGGTTCAGATTCTTGCAACGAAGCTTTAACCGGGCATAGTGCAGCTGGAGCTAACAATTCTTCAATTCTCTCTTTTGGAGAGACATCATATCTCGAAACGTTAGGGAACCCATGTTCTAGAGAAAACAACAAAGAAACAGGCGGCGATCGACGCTCGAGAAGTGAACTTGGAGGCGGTGGCACTGGGTCAGATGTTTCCAAGAAACCTGCAATGGTGGAGAGCAAGGACGATGGAAGTTCCAGTGACCAAAATGAACCGGTGCCACAACATCCTCACTCTCACCGGAACACGGGTTACCAAGTTAGTGGCCTACAAGTTCAAATACCCGTTCACGGAATGAATGAAATGCGCAATGGTTTGGAAAAAGGCCGCCCTCGTTTCTCCTCAGTTGAGGTGCAAACCGTTCCACAAGCTTCTGGATTGACACCTCCATTATATGCAGCTGCTACTACTGCCTATATGTCTCCTGGAAGCCCGTATTACACTAACGTGAATTCACCTGGCTTATACAGTCCTCAATATAGCATGGGGGGTTATGCGTTGGGTTCGGCATTTCTTCCTCCCTACATGCCCGGATACCCGTCTCATAATAGTATTCCTATGCAGTTCGATGTCAATCCAGGACAAAGTATTAGTGGTCAAACTGCAACTCGGGACATTCAACAGATGGGCGATTTTCAGCATGTAAACAAGTTTTACGGACACCACGGGTTAATGATGCATCCTTCCCTCCCCGATCATTTCCAGATGCAGTACTTTCAGCATCCCGTTGATGATTCATTCAATGCCCCGGGACAATATGTTCGTTTTCCTTCGAGTTTGGTTGGAGGCCCAGCCGATCCATATGCTACACAAAAAGACCCGACTGTTGCTTCTTACTTTGGTGATCAGAAATTTCAGCCTCATCATAACGGGAGTCTGAGCACACCGAGTCCAAGGAAAATGGGAGTATCTAATAACAGTTACTATGGAAGCCCTACTGCCCTAGGGTTCATGCCGCAGTTTCCAGCATCTCCTCTCGGTAGTCCCGTACTGCCAGGATCCCCGATAGGAGGAGCGTTTCCTTTTGGAAGGAGAAGTGAAGCGAGATGTTCACAAGGATCTAGCAGAAACGTTGGAGTTTATTCTGGTTGGCAAGGGCAAAGAGGATCCGACAACTTCAATGAACCTAAAAAGCACTCATTTCTTGATGAACTAAAAGCAAATAATGCTCGGAAAATTGACCTCTCTGATATTGCTGGCCGAATTGTTGAATTCAGGTAGTAATCTGTTCCAAACTTCTTTGCCACAGATCCCAAAGATAACTGATAATATGTATTTATCCTCAGTGTTGATCAACATGGGAGTCGATTCATACAGCAGAAGTTAGAGAGCTGTAGTGCTGAAGAGAAGGCTTCCGTTTTCACAGAAGTTCTTCCACATGCTTCAAAGCTAATGACCGATGTCTTTGGGAACTATGTTATTCAGAAGGTTGGCATTTAGGTTCCAAATATTTTCAAGTTTGATATCTCCTTTCACAATACATATAGTTCTTACGTGCTCCTAGCACATATAACTGTTTGATATTTGCATAATGATTTAGTTCTTTGAGCACGGGAGTCATGAGCAAAGAAAGGAGCTGGCTTGCCAGTTAACCGGGAAGATGCTACCTTTAAGTTTGCAAATGTATGGCTGCCGTGTTATTCAGAAGGTATTACTTTACATTTTTGGGTTTTCCCCAATTGCTCTTCTGATCAAAATATCTGCCCGTCTTTCTTCGATCTTATTTAATTAGTTTATATTGAATATTGCACTCCACTTATGGTGCTCTTGATTGATTGGTTCTTCGTCATAGGCCCTTGAAGTAATTGATATTGACCAGAAGACAGAATTAGTTCACGAACTTGATGGGCATGTGATGACATGTGTACGAGATCAAAACGGAAATCATGTCATACAGAAATGCATTGAATGTGTTCCAACAGAAAGTATCGGATTTATTATATCCGCTTTCCAAGACCAAGTTGCTACACTGTCTACCCATCCCTATGGCTGCCGAGTTATCCAGGTGCTTTTATTTACTCTTAAAAAAAAAACACTTTTTTATCTTATTGTGAATGCTATTTAACTCCTCTTATTTGCATTGATTTCTAAAGAGAGTGTTGGAGCACTGTTCAGATGACTCACAAAGTCAATGTATAGTGGACGAAATCTTGGAATCTGCATATGTTCTCGCCCAGGATCAATATGGCAATTATGTCACTCAGGTGTGTTTGTGTGTGCGTGTTTTTAAATTTAAATGGCATCAAACTACTAGCTTCTCGGCTTTCAACAATGTATCCAACAATTGCGGAAGATATTCTCAAAGTCAAAGGACTATTCGAAAAGCAATAACGAAAGAACAAAACAAAAATTGCTAGAAATCTGAGAGATATGAAAATTAGCAAATAAGTAGAGACTAGAGAGACGTATTCTCAAAAATCGTAGAGTATCTTCAGATAGGATTTGGAGTGAGGACAACATTAAGGTATGAGTTCACCTTGAAGTTGGTTAAGCAAGTTAAAATTGAAGGTGATTTCGGGGTTTGTTGCTGATATGAAGTAACTTTGAACTGACTGTATTCTGCAGCATGTTTTGGAGAGGGGAAAACCACACGAAAGAAAGCAGATTATTAGCAAGTTGAGTGGGAAAGTTGTGCAGTTGAGTCAACATAAATATGCATCAAATGTTGTTGAGAAGTGCTTGGAGCACGGTGATCCTGCCGAACGGGAGCTCTTGATTGATGAGATTCTTGCCCAGTCTGACGGAAATGACAGTTTGCTAGTAAGAGACTTGTAGCCCTTCATCTTTTTCTTCTCTTTTCCTCGACTCGAGTGTTTTTCTTTTCATGCAATTTGTGGATTCATCTCGACCTGTCTGCAAACCTGCTTTCATTGTTCAACTTTCCCACTGTAGGGTATGATGAAGGATCAGTTTGCAAATTACGTGGTTCAGAAGATTCTCGACATTAGCAATGATAAGCAGTGCAAAGTTTTACTGAGTCGAATCAAAGTTCATCTTCCCGCTTTGAGGAAATACACCTATGGGAAACACATAGTTGCTAGATTTGAACAGCTTTCCGGTGAAGGTAAGACATATCTCAAACTATTTCCATTCTCTCTATGCAAACAACCGAAAAAAGAAAAGAACAAAACCGAATCTTCCATTGCAATATATACCATATAGTGCAATATATGAAAACATTTTGATTGAAGTTCTTACATTATGATTGTTAAGAGTCCCACATCTATAAAATAAGAGAGAACATATGGGTTTATAAGGCCATGGGTTAGACTAGTTAATTGGTTGGATTCAATCTTTTAGTGTGGTTTGGCCTATGTGCATTATAGCCCAGTTGAGTGACTATGGCCCACTCTTAAATTATTATAACAATGGTCAAAAACCGAATACCTAGAAGCCGATCAACAAGTTTTTGTATGTCATGCAGAAGAATGATCACCTGAACCCTAGACAGCTGGGATAGGGAACTCTTGAAGCATCACCGGGCTCGGTGCTTGGATTCTTTAAGCTGGGCTATTTCCTACAAATCGAACGAACACGAGCCACGATGTGACGGGAAACCTTACTTTCTTGTACTAGACAGTCTGGTTGTCAGCTAGGTTGTTCTCTGTTGTGGTTAACATTGAAAAGCTGTATCTGTAGGAGTGCATAGAATAATCAGTGAGTGTTGTAGAGAAAATGTTGATGGCTTTCTAAATTAGTTACAAATAATGGTTGTTTGCATATATGATTTGTGGCTTTCTTGTGGAAGATAATGTTTGGTATAAATTGCAATGTGTGAGAATGGACCTTTGAGGAATGAAAAGGAAATTGACATTCTCTAATGGTTCATTTGATTTAGGATAATATTTGGTCCTTCCTTTTATGGAATCTCTATTTCATTGATGTTGACATCTTGTAAGGGAAGATGACATGTTTCCCTAATTGTGTGTATGTATGAAAGGTTAGGTTTTTTTAATGAAATATATTTATTTAAAGATTATGGTTTATGTTTTTTTTTTTTTTAATATATAAAGGTTTCCTTAATTTACAATGTCTGAAGTAGAAAATGGTGCAAGTATCTTGTGGTTTGATAATATCACTTTACCTTTTCAAATGGAAGGTTACAAATTTAAGTCTTGTCTCAATTTAATGATCTACCTATCATGTGAAATAGATGCTATAGATAGGATTAAATTAAGGTCATAAAAATGGTAATTTTTGTAATTCAATTTTTTTAAAATAATAAAAATAAATAATATATTCAATATCCAACTAAACATCACACACTGCATACTTAGCTTAGTAAATGACCCAAATCAAATTGATTAGACAATTAATTTAGTAATTATAAGATTTTGAGTTCAGTTTCTCCAAATCATACAATGCACTTAGAGCATCCTTATCCGTGGGAATATTAGAGGAGAGAATGTAAGAGTGATTAGGAAAGAGAATGTGGAGGGGAGAGAAAAAAAAGTAAAAATTGATTTTAAAATTATATATATATATATATATATATATATATATATATATATATATATATATATATATATATATATATATAATAATAATAATAATAATAATAATTAAAGTCAGCCATGATTGGTTGTTTATCCTGCGGAGTCCCACAATGCTCCCATTCTCTCAACTCTTATTTATGCTTTCCAAATTTCTCTCTCCACTTCGTCTCTCATTCATGTCAACATTAAATATATTAAAAGTAATACATTCTCCCCACGTGCTCCCCAGTGTGTATGCTCTTAGAGCAAGCTCAATAATTTTGATTTTTATGAGATTTTTGTCATATTTATGTAGGAGAGAGAGAGGGGGGAGGGGAGAGGAAAGAAAAGAGGGGAGGGGGAAGCTTGACAATCACAAAATAAATAAGTTAAAAAGTTTATGCTAGCGAGTGTAGTGGCGCAACTACTGCGAACGCGCACCTACAAGCTTACTTTTCCCATTCCTTCTCAAAGTCTGGGACCCAAAAAAATTATATTTGTACAAGTAAAAAAACCCTCTAAAAAAATCACCTTTTCAATTTGTTTGGTTTTTTCTTCTTAAAAAACTGAGCAAAAATTCTTAATGGGATTGCTCTTAAGTGACTAATTTGACATTAGGACCTTTTTTAATGTCTCTCAGAGCATAAGCTATTAGTAGTTTTTAGCATGGTTGCAGTAGGCGCTGGGCGCTAGTCGGGCGCCCGGGCAGCGCCTAGCGCCTAAGCGGCCTAGTCGGCGCCTAGGCGGAATCTAGGCGGCGCTAGGCGGTCGCGAAAAAAACAGTAGCAGACTTGCAATTTGACAATTTTAATGAGGCTGTTTTCAACATTCAATCAAATAACACATCCAAATAAATGACATAATGACAATTCATAAGTCATAACATCAAAAGAATATTAAAAAAAAAAACTCAAATGAAATACTCAAATACTTCAATCATCCAACGATTGAAAATATCAAACTAGTCTACGAGTGTATATATGTTATATTATATGTATATGTCATATAAATGGAAAAAATTAGCAAGGTTGAGTCGGTCGGGTTAACTCGACTAACTCGACAGAAATTGACGAGTTAACTCGGCGTAATCGGACGAGTTAGGCGCTAGGCGGGCGCCTAGGCGGCCGGTCTCCTAGGCGGGAGCCTAGGGCGGAAATCGCCACGGCCTATGGGCGCCTAGCGCCTAGGCGCCGATTACTCGGTGCCTAGGCGGGATTTTTACAACCCTGGTTTTTAGTTGTTTTTTTGTAGTCATAGAACTGATTTTTGTCTCGTAATATGAACCCCACAAAAATAATTAAAAAAACAGGTGGCATTGAGGGTGGTCACCCTCATTATTTATTTATTTATTATTATTATTATTATTATTTTATTTTATTTTATTTTTGCTTTTTCTTGTTTTTTTTTACCATTCATTATTACATATTTAGCTCCTAAAAACTTGTGAAAAGACTATACTAATGAGCTTGCTCTCAAAAGTACCAAAAAAATGAAAGGAATAAGGTTCAAATTGGCCACTGAACGTAACCTGAAAGTGCAATTAGGCCACTGAACGAAAAAAAAGTGCAATTAGGCCGCTGAGCACTTCAAAAATGTGCAATTTCACCTGATAGCAGGTTACCCTCAATTTTAGCAGGTTATCTGCTTACGTGGCAGCTGAGTTGGCATTTTTAATAAATTTTAATAATAAATTTTTATTAAAAAAATTTTAAAAAAAATAAAAACAACTTTATTTTATTTTTTATTTAATTTTTTTCCAATTTTTTATAAAATTTATTATTAAAATTAATTATTAAAAATTATTTAAAAATTATTAAAAATGCCAACTAAGCTGCCACGTAAGCAGGTAACCTGCTAAAATTGATGGTAACCTGTTATCCGGTAAAATTGCATACGTTTGGAGAGTTCAGTGACCTAATTGCACATTTTTTAAGTGTTCAATGGCCTAATTGCACTTTTTTTTCGTTCAATGGCCTAATTGCATTTTCAGGTTACGTTCAGTGGCCAATTTGAACCTTATTCCAAAATGAAATTATAGAATAATCTTGAATAGTGTAAAAGCTTATTTGACTTTTTTTTCTCCAATTTAAAATCTAATTAGATAGTTAAAAACTACAACAATTTCCCAAACAGTGCCATGGTTGTAGAAAAACAAAAAGAAAATTGTAATGGTGCTTGTCAAAATGGCACCAACATCAGAAGTTCAAAGTGAACTAATTAAGGGGATAAACAACGACCACATCCCCCTGCTTCTATCATCGCTTGCACTGCTCCAGCAAACGACTGGTTTTGGTGTTCAAAAACACTCTTTAAGTTATATCGACAGATTGTTCAGATGTCTCATCTTACAAATCAGATTTGAAAGGTGAGAGTTAGAGTATCACAGGTAATGTTGTTTCCCTCCAAGCAATATATCTTTCCACGCCTCGTAGAACATCCAGGTGATGCCTGAAGCCGGCATGACTTTCAATGAGCTCGCCCCCCAGCCTCTGTAAAGCCCCGACACTCCTTCCACCCTCACGATTTCTGATAGCGCAGCCACCATGTTTGGCGGGCATTTGCCTTGCAAAGCCCCGACCATCAGACGCTTCCTTGCTACCTCTAGAGGATAGCTAATCGTGCTCGCAGTTAAGCCTGTCGGAGGGCATAAACATAAACATAAAACATCCATTTAAAAGGATTTTGGAGTGATTGCGTGATTACTAGCAGGGATTGAGTTTCAAGATTCATACCAGAGAGAGCTCCGAATAGAAGCATCTCTGCACAGCTCAAAGATTCCTTGTTTTTTGCCCGGCAATATGATTTCTTGATTGTCTCGTACATGAAATAGTAGCACGTGCTATACGGGAGCATGCCAATCAATGTTGGTGCAATACCAGAATATAGTGCGCCAATCCCCCCATCCTTGTAGATCTTGCTCGCAGCAATGCTTAGACTCGGGTATATTTCAGGACTTACAGTCAAGCGATCCTGTAAGATGCAATGATTAGAAGAAATGGTTAATTGAAAACTTAACAACACGCTTGCTCTTTTCATGGATGTACAGAATCCAGGATGCACAAATTCCTGGGGAAAAGAATATACCTTTAACACTTCGAGTGGATGGCATACGAGAGTACTCACGATTCCAGCAGCTGCACCGCCCACAGCAACTGGAGAGAGCCATGAGAAAGGAAAGTTGAACGTAATATGACCAATTTGTAGCTTTGGACCACCAGAGCGAGTCCATCTATCTTTAGTCGAAGTCATTGCTCGTTTGACACACTCGAATGTCGCAAGCTCAATTGCCTGTGTAGGAATTATGCGCACCATGTTAATCGTGTTTCCAGCCCATAGTCCTTGCCAACCGTGCTGCTCAATGACTTGGATAAAACTGCCAGAAATGTTTTTGGACCCAACACCAACTACCATCCTTGTCCTGCATGTTTTAACTTAAAAAGTGAGGAAGATATTTCAATTTCAGGGTCATATTAGACTCTTAACATACAATAATAGCTTCAAAGCAACACTGTCTACTCATGGATGAGGGTAACTCTCAAGTGCCAACCTTCCTAGCTCTTCAGATGGTCAAGATTGTACTAAACAGCTCGAGTAAAATTCAGAAAGTGCAGTGTAATGTAGAGACAAATTTCCAGAAAAAAAGACGTCAATGCTGTGAACAGAATTAGACAGAGAGGTAATCACTCAATTTGCTTAGTGTAAGTGATGTTACAAAGAATAGACCGAACTAAGGTTGAATATAAGCTAAATCAATGTTCCAGATCAATTTTCTATTTAGTTATCCAAAAGACCAAAACACATTTAAACTTTAGAAAATATAACAACCAAAGACATTGTAGGGAGCTAGTAAAGACAGTGAAAGCTGCAGGAAAGATTCAAGGATTTCAAAAAGCAAGAAGAGAAAAAGAAAAGCAGAACACGCCTGATGGTTTCAAGAGGAGCAAGAACAGCTTTAGTCATAGCCCCAGCCATAGCACCACTAAAAAACTCAGCAACCTCTCTGGTCCTCATAAAATCCTGAAGCAAATGAAATCATTCTGTAAATGCTACTCATATTTCACCACAGAGAACAACTTTTCTGGGTTTATCATGGATTCATGGGGGTGAATTGTAATAACTCAGTGTGCTCAAATACTTAAGAATGGAAAGAAGTTAGGGTAAATTCCCAAACATTTTTTGCCAAACAATGAATATGAAGAAAGAAAGTTAAAAAAAAAAAAAAAAAAATGAACTCTTTAAACAGACACAATTTTATGTCTTTATCCACTTGAGATTTGAGCAATTGTTGAGCATCTAGTACTAAACAAAAGAGAAACAGTATAAAGTCTAAAAATGAATCCAGTATACAACTCTTTTTAACTGCAAACACTAATGTTGATCAAGAGAATCAATGCAAAAAGTTTAAATCCTACTACCAAATGAACACATGATTTCCAAACAAATACAGTAAATGAATTGCTTGAATAACAGAGAAAAACAGAACAAGATGTTGGTTGGTAATGGAAGCCATACTTGAAAGGCTCGGCCGACATCAGGAAGTCTGAAGCTGAGAAGATGGTCTCTATAGTCCGGGTCCTTGTGGAACTCCATCTCCGACAAGCATCCCACCAGAGGGTAAAAGCTGAGACCTTTCTTCTGCGATTCCATCCCCACTCTCAACTCCAACATCTTTTGAATTCAGTTCCAACGCAAAGAAATACACAAGATAAGAGAATGAAATATAATGGCACGTATGACGATTCAAGCCATTTTCAGGCATGTGTTTATTGCTTCCTCTAATAAAGAAGGAACAACTGAGTAGACTGGGGGGAGAAAGAATACGAAAGAGATACATGCCTGATCAGAGTGAGGGTGGGACGGAGATTTTTGGATCATTCGGACTGGGGTTTTTTGAACGTGGATTGTTGGAGCCGATCCGAAAGCGAAAGATACAAACTTCGCAGATATTTTTCTTCCTCCTCCTTGGGCGTCACTGTCCTCTCCCACGGTGGCGGAAGGAGCGAGCTTATCCTTTTCTCTTCCTATTTACTTGTTAGATTTTTTTTCAAAACTTTTCCTTTTTATTCCATGATGATATACAGGGAAAATATCTGCCTATCTATCTAACCCAAAGAATTAGGGTTACATTAAAAGTGAGATGGATTGATTGGGTCAGTGTCAGTCGTATGACTTTCAGCGCTCTTTTTGAGTTCTATAATCCCGCCGGTGTCACTCTGTCGCGTCGTACTCCTTGTTTTACGCGAATTATATCTAGAATTCAACGTTGAATTTTTTTTTTTTTTTTTTTTTTTTTTTACGGAATACATGTTTATCACATACAATCTAGTCTAAAATTTGTACTCACCCTGTTGCATTTAATCTGATTCGATTAATCAGAGTTGACTGAAATTATTTTTAATTAAATTTTTTTATAATGTTAAGTTTAGTATTAATATATCAAAATTTATATATTTAAAAAATATATTAAAAATGTTATTAAATATAAAAATAATTAAAATTATTAAATAATAAAAAACTACGAAAAAATAATTGGTCTAAATAATGAATAATAAACAAGACTAACAAAATGTGGTAGAGTGAGTACATTGAATAATAAAACATACTCCATGTATTTTTTGGATGGTGGGTCAGGTAGATCTTAACAAATTAAACTCTTTGTAGGTAATATTGAATTCAGATTTTATGTACAAAATTCTCATATAACCTCACCCCACCTACCACGTGTGTGTATATATATATATATATATATATATATATATATATATATAACAGTAAAATAAGTACTGCTACGTAGTATTCTAAAAAAAAAAAGGTACTAGTATGTAGTTATTTCTAAAAGTTTATAGAAGTTTTGTAATTTCTTTTACTATTTTTAGTTCTAAACTAATAAATTTGTTTTAAAATAATTAACAATTTAATTATTATATTTTAATATTTCTACTATTTTATATTTTAATATGAGTAGTGAATTTTATTATTTTATTATGCGTAAGTAATTTAAGTATTATTTAACATTTTTTTAATAAAATAATAAATTAAGGGTATTCGCAGGGGCACCCGCACCAAGTGAGGCGGGGTGGGTCTAAAAAAAGTCTACTCGATACGAGCGGGGTCAGAGACGGTGCCAAAGGGGGGCAGGGGACAGCTGCCCCCTCACCCCACCCCACCCCATATACAATCTTTCTTTTTTTTTTTTTTATGTATATATGTATATATAGCATAGGTTTTAGTATTAGTATAAAAAAACTAGTAAATATTAACAAGTAAGGAGTTATGTTAGTTTGTAGAGCTTATATTAAGTAATAGGAAAGGTCTTGGGAGCAAATCCTTGCATTAAAATAGTTTTACATATTTTTGAGTCTCACCCCTATGATTTCAACATAGTCACCTTTTTAATATTTAACACACACACGCACAATATATATATATATATATATATATATATATATATATATAAACATTCATTTATATTAATACTGAGATGTGTAATTTATAATGTGTTTTCTATTTAAATTATTTTATCAAATTAATTATATTTCATATTTTGTTATGAATATTTTTATAAAATTTCGATGTGTTTTATTTTTCGCACATATCCAACAATATTTACAACTGTATTTCTTAGGTAATGGTTATAAAAATAAAAATAAAAAATTCTTAGGTAATTTATTTATTTTTTTAAAATTATCTCTTTTGTTTTAATGTTTCGCTTTTGCTTTAACAAATTTCTGAATCCGTACTACTTCTTCGCCCCCCTCAATCGAATTTCTGGTTCCGTCCCTGGGTGGGGTGGTGGAGAAAATATAAGGTGGGTACGGTGGTGGATGTAGCTCTCCCGACCCACCATTGACCCATTGTCATCCTTAATAATACTATTGATAGGGCTTATACGTGCATGGCTAGACATATGTAAGATAAACCGACCATAACTAATGAGAGTCGAACAATGCAAAGAATCTTCTAAAACACTTTTTGATCATCCAGTCACACCATATCAAAAAGTTAGTTCGCAATATAAAAAAATAGTCAAATAACGTCCCATCAAATTAATATGTGTTCAAAGACCCACCTATCGGCCTATATAATACGTATTTATTGCTTGTATGAGGAACCTCTTCACTTCTCCAACTACCCAAAGGACCAATTCAATCTTACTGTATCCAGGAGTTAATCATATCAATTATCTTTACTTTTTTTTGCTTATAGAGTTAATTATAGGAATTGTCAATTGACTATTGTCATTTATCAATTTATCTATCTTTCAATTATATCATGAATGGTTTATTGACTATTGATCTTTATCAATTTTCGTCATCTAACTTTCAATATGAATATAAATGGTCCAGTGAGTATTGATTTTTTCCCAAAGTTGGTCATTCAGTTAAATATCCATTTACTAAACATTAAATTTAAGAATAATATTGTATTAATTAGCTTGTTGTTGAGATGGACAAATTGAGTTCACAAATTTAATACATTGAGTTAATCGTTGTGAAGAATTATTATTTTTACATTATTACCCTTAAATTTAATGTTTATTAAAAATGATATTTAACTAGAGTATCAACTTTATAAAAAATCAATAGTCAATGAATTACTTATGGTTAAATTGAAAATCGATGACGAAAATTTGTAAAGATCATTAGTCAAGTGACCATATATGATACGGTTGAAAGTATAATGATAAAAATTGATAAATAATAATAGTCACTGGATCATTATTGGAATTAATTATTTTGATTTTACCATGCTTCTTTTTTGAATACTATTGACTCTGTTAGATTGTAGCAATTTGGAAGAGCCACAATTATGACGCTAGACCACGAAGTTTTGACATACTTTTTTTTTTTTTTTTTTCTATTAGTTATTAATATCATGCATGCAATAACTTATAGTCTTATACATTGTACTTCACTTATTGTACACTTACAAAAGTTTGTTCCAATGCATTTATGTATTGATTATTTATATTGTATTTTACTTTAATGTAACTTGAGTATGTATATATAGTTTTTTTTTTCTTTTTTATTATAGTTTTTTTAGTTTTTTTTTTTAAATAAAAATTCAATGGAGTAGCAAACCACAAGTTATAGCTTTACTAGTCTCTCATAAGCAAGTCTATAGTTCTAGATATACCTTGATAATCGTCTACAGGGATATCTAGGAGTTCACTCAGAGGCTCAAACAAATTGCTCCGACAACTATTATGTTTGTTTTCCATATTAGCTAGTAATTCGGTTATTTGATTTTGGTCATGGTATATATTTAGTTTGTTGTTATTTGAGAGTGTACACTAAGTAAATCCGTATTATGACTCTAACGGACTAAAGATCACAATAAGGTAATTGATCGATTTAAATCAAGACGGTCAGTATGTCGCTCTTATTGAAAGTCAAACTTGTAATTTTATAATTATTAAATCAATAACCTGACTAACTTATATAGAGTTACTCACTTATAAAAATGTGCACTACATAAACTTCGACTTATGATCTTAACAAGTAAAATATCTATTTCTCTGTGATATTTACGATTTCCTAGTCGTCTTCGTCGTCATAATATAAAAAAAGGAAAGAAAACTATATTAGGCGCGCGTTTTGGGTTAGTGGCGCGGAAATAACGAAACGGTGTCAAAAGACGGAGTACGTAATATTGTAATCGTACTTCTCAAACGTTTTCTCCCTTAATGCTATATTGTTTTTCTATTGTTTATTGCCCGCCTTAATAGAAAACCCTAAAGATTGAATTACAGAGCGAGCGGGAGAGGGTGCGGGAGGGTGAGCGTTTGCAGAAGATGCCAAAGAAAGATGCTGCGAGGAGAGAGCTGTTGGATCGATGGAGAGGCATCGAAGAGGAAGACGACGACGCCGATGGCGACTTTGGTGCTCATAAGCGCCGTCGTCTTCACCAGCTCAAAGAAGAGTGGTTTGCCGCCTGTTCTCAAGACTTCAATTAATTTCTGAATTCAACATTCATCCACTTCGCAACTTTCCTTGGTTTTTGAGTTGTTTTGTGTTTGAATATTTTTTTTAAAACCTGTATTAATGCAATCTGCTCTGATCATAACGAGAGATACAGAAATGAGATCCTATCCTGCTAAAAATAAATATAAACCTCAATGCCAGTAAGAGAGCACTGAACTTAAACCCAATAATGTGATAGTATGGACTGAGACTAATCGATCGCAACAAACTATAGCTAAAGCTCCCACTCTGTTGCTTTTTGATCAATTACTTTATCTGCCAGTTTGAAGAAAACATCATATAGATGGAAACACTGACAGCTGACCTTTCAGGATGCAAATGCTGCAAGAATTTAGCCAGTGAAATAATGCTGAGACTGGACCAACATTTGTGCACCGGATTGGGTGTTGGTAACATTTTGACAAATTGGAAACTGGAGTTCCTAAGAGGGGCTCTTTCTGGATTCCTGGGGAGAATAAGATTGGAAATTCATTGTTTCTTATTGAATTTGACTATTGCCAATACACACAGCATAACTAATGACTTTGTGTTATTATTAACTTGTAATGTGGCTCCAATGAATGATGAATGGGAGGGAATATACAATTCATTTTCAACTCACTCATGAAGTGAAAAATAGATACTCAACCGAACTTGCTCAAATCTGCCAAATTTTAATGATTTGTTTTAGTTTGAGCTGATTTGCAGTGCAGTGATGCACTTCTTTTTCTGTTAATTAACTTGTAGCATTTTCATATTAAATGCAGGTTTTCTGATGCTTTCAAATTCTTGATCCAATTGCCAAAAGGAGATCATATTTGGTGTTGTTCTTGGGACCTGATGGGACCTTTACTAGAGACATTCTATAATTATTATAAAGATGAGCATCATGATTCTCCTCTAAAGCTTCTATGGAATAGAGTTTCGGAAGAGTTGCGCCATTGCACTCAATGTATTTGCCAATACCATCAAGCCCAAGAGATGTATAACACAGAATATGAGTCAAGTTCGATAGGTCCT